TAGGTTTGTTTTAAAGTTGAATTTGTATGTAAGTCAGAACAGGCCCATTTTTAAGTGTAGCCTCAGCCATTCACTTTAGATAGCAGATTGAAGGTGTTTGTTTTGCTGTCAGTGCCCCTGTTCAGAAGATTTCACCTCACTTTCTGTCCCTCTGAAAATTGGATTTTGAAAAATTTGGCTTAGTGGAAAAATAGGATTGGTGATAAAGCTTCAGTGGAGACACTTTTGCCCCATGATAACTCTTCCAGGAGTAAATTTCCCTTCTGAGGGATAGACTGCTCTCACTTCCTGTTGTCTCACCCCTGTTCTTAACTAGAAATCATTTGTAAGTCAGATGTTTGTAACTCAGGGACTGTCTGTACATGTATTTGAAGGTCAGGGTGTCCTCCCCCCCCCCCCCAATTCTACTTTGGGAGTCAGATACTAAGATAAGGCAACTCCAGTGGAATCTGGACAAAGTTAGGGTTCCTGAAAGTGAGCAGACTCATCTAGTACCAGTTTAATCCTTTTTTTAAAAATAGAATGCACCCTGATTTTAATGGGACCTTGACAGCTGTCAATTGAAGCTGTCATTTGATGCTAGCTCTGCTTTAGTCTGTTATTAGGGCCGTTGTTGCTTTCCATACAATTAAGGATCCTTTTCTATTTGGTTTTCCTCCCTGCTGTATTTCGATGCCAGCCATCTCTGCATGCTTCGAGTGGTTGAAAAACAAATTATCTGGGTCGACATATCCATGGGTCATTCTAAGTAGTCTGGTGTGATTTTAATAGTGAATGCAATGTTATATATGTTTTAATGTGCATTTAATTCTAATTTTTAACTTGAGTGTATTCTAACTGTTTATTGTCCAAAGGCATTGAATAGTTGCCATATATAAAGCTGCCTTGAGTCCCCTTCAGGATAGAGAAAGGCAGGATACAAATAGAGTAAATTATTTATTTATTTATTTATTTCGGTTTCTTCTACCCCGCTCTTCTCACCCCGAAGGGGACTCAGGGCGGCTTACAAAGGCACAATTCGATGCCAACATCACATAACAGTAGTAACACAAAATAACATGAATTAAACAGTTGAAACTGTTAAACAACAATTCCTGCATTATAGCCCTAAAACCAACAAAACCAGTAAAACCAATAAAATGATACAAACGTAATTACTCCTCATAGACAGTCAGCGTTCGCTATCTCATAGTCCAAATTTCAATTCCACATTGTCAGTCCTGTCAGTCCTAGTCATTTGATTGTCCTTATCTAGTTGTCAGATTGCCCAAAGGCCTGGTCCCACAACCACATCTTTACTTTCCTCCTGAAGGAGAGGAGGGATGTTGATGCCCTAATCTCTCCTGGGAGTGAGTTCCACAGGTGAGGGGCCACCACCGAAAAGGCCCTGCTCCTCGTCCCCACCAACCTCACTTGTGATAGCGGTGGGGTCGAGATCACGGCCTCCCCAGATGATCTCAGACTCCGGGGTGGGACGTAGAGGGAGATACATTCGGGCAGATACACTGGACCGGAACCGTACAGGGTTTTGTAGGTCAAAACCAGCACCTTGAATTGTGCCCGGAACTGAACCGGCAGCCAGTGGAGCTGACACAGCAGGGGGGTGGTGTGCTCCCTGTATGACGCTCCGGTGAGTAATCTGGCTGCCGCTTGCTGGACCAGTTGAAGTTTCTGAACAGTTTTCAAGAGCAACCCCACGTAGAGTGCGTTGCAGTAGTCTATTCGGGATGTATCTTAACTCTTGTAACAAAAACAGAAACCATCATATTCTTTGTGTAATGTGGCAAAAGGCAAGATTTTAATCTGTCCTAGGAGAACTAAGAAGAATCACTTACCCCCTCTACTTTCTTCATTACAGTGTCACTTCTGGCTTTTTTGAAAATCTGGGGAAATGGCAGGGGCAACTGACCCGTTGAAATGGTACTGACCTTTTTTCCCTTCTCTATGGGATAGCTCACATCTTATCCATGGGTCATATAAAAATCCGGAATTTTGACCCCAAAATCTGCCCTCAACTAATACATGAGGTCTACTTATACATGAGAATATCCAGTAGACAGTATGGGATACCTTTTAAAGGATGTTTAGGGATCTTATTCCAAAGCTTAGAAAGCTTTTTGTTTACACTAAAACCTGCTGAGCAGCAAGCAGGTTTTCCAGGCTCTGCTTCTTCCTAGTTCAAGAATCTGTGCAATCTTCATGGTTTCTTAGTTTGGGTATATCGACTATCTCTGAAGTACATGTGGTGATAAAACAGCTCTTCTGCATTTAGGAATAGGTACCTACTTACTCCATTGCTGTGAACTTGCTGCTTACATTGTGGCTGACAGCTTTCCATTCCCTGTAGGGCTGCAAAAATAGAGTCCATCTCCTCTCGTGTTTAATCAATTTCAAAAGGAAGTGATGGAATACATTAATGGGTTTATGGATTTTTGCCAAATTATTTGTCAGGGAAAGGCATCCTTTTCTGTAAGTAGATTAAAGCTGCTTCCAAAATTTGATTTGCTGTTGGAGTAGCTGGGCAGTTTGAACCGAGCACAAGGTGACCTCATTTTAGTGCTGGCCTTCCAGTTTTCTTGTGTACTCACTGCTGACCATGTATTTAATCTTGAAAGACCCGATAACAAATGACACAATTTTTCCACTGATGTAAATATATGTTATTCCTCTCTCTCTCTCTCTCTCTCTCTCTCTCTCTCTGTGTGTGTGTATTATTAAGATTCTATCTGGAAACCTTGCTATCCTCCATTTCTCCAAATACCTAGAAGTTCACCTTTATATTCAAGGTCACTGATATTCATATTCTGAATACATAAAAACCAATATTTCACAAGTGAATGAGTGAAATATTCATTATCCTGGTGTGGGAAACTCTACTACTCCTACTATGTATTTAAAGGGAACCTACATTTCATCTCTCTCGTCTAGGTGAAGAACTTTTGACTGTCCAGGTGTTTTGGGGCCCTTCCAGACAGACCCTATATCCCAGGATCCAATCCCAGGTTTTTTTTTTTGTTTTTTTCCCCTTTAAACTGGATTATATGAGTTCGCATTGCCAGGTAATCTAGGATAAACAAAAACCTGGGATCAGATCCTGGGATCTAGGGCCTGTCTGGAAGGGTCTTTGGAGTACAGCTACTCTTATCATCAACTGTGGTGGCCGGGACTCCAGCAACCCCACCCCTTTCTGAACCTTTGAAGAATAGCAAGAAAACAGTACACTAACAGTACACTAACAGTACACTTTACAAGGAATTGATTTGTAAAGGAGATAGGAGGGCTGGTACAGTGAGGGCTCCTCTCTCTCTCTCTCTTTGCTGTGGGCCTCCAGAGGAACTATATTGACTGCCATAGAGGAGACACATGGGCAAGCTGTTGAATTTATAGGCAACCCCTCCTCCATCTACAGAATAAATGGGTGGATACAAAATAGAAGAGAGTAGATTCACATGATAGACTCACAATATAACTTCTGAAATGCTGCCAAATTAATTTTCCTTAGGGAAAAAACAAATAGCAAATCTTCTCTCATTGCAATCACTGTGTCAGAAGCTGTAGCTGATGATAAGCATGCCTCAGTTCCCAAAGGCTTTTACAAAGTCTTCTTATGCCTGTCCAGTATCGCCCTTTTTCCTCAACCTCTGTCTAGCTAATACATTTTAGCAACATTGGCATTGGGGAAAAGGTGAAGGAAAGCTGGGAAAATACAGATTTTCATTTTCAGGTTTTATCTTATTTACATTATTTCAACCCGCCTTTCTCCCGATATAGGGATTCAGATTGCAGTAGTATATTTGCAGTAAACAATGTAGTGACACTTAAGGAGGATAAAGTAGGATTTACTCTAGCCAATCCTACTGCAGCCATGTGTGCCTGTCTGCAATAGGGAAGGTATAGCAGCTTAAGCTGTCATACATAAAAAGTGACAAAACCAATATAGATATTGTACAAAGATTAATTAAATCATGTTCATGGTTAAAGATAAAGATATAGAGAAAAATGTGGTAGGGATATGAGTGGTGGAGAGTGGGGGCAGAGGAGAGGAAAAAAATGTGTAAAAGAGATGAATACATAATATAGAAATACCCCATTATTTAAAATGTATATATGCAATAGCTGTCTATTACCTATTCACAGATTGTGTTATTATGTACTTAATTTAAAAAACCAATGCCGCATAAAACAGATATACAAATAGAATAAACAAATGCATTAAAAAACCATAAAGTTTGTTTGTTTATTTATTTACAGCATTTATATTCCGCCCTTCTCACCCTGCAGGGGACTCAGGGCAGATTACAATGTACACATATATGGCAAACATTCAATGCCAATTAGACATACAACGTATATAAACATACACAGAGGCTATTTAACTTTTTCTGGCCGCCAGGGGAGCTGTCGCTTTCATCGTCCATCTGCAACACTGATGAAGTATTTCCGCATTCCCCGCTTGCTTTTGCTGGAGTGCTTTTTGCTGGAGTCTTTTTATGGTCTCATAAATTAGTTAATTAGCCTCCCCACACATAGGTGGTACCTAATTTTCCTACTTGACAGATGCAACTGTCTTTCGGGTTGCAAAGGTCGACAACAAGTTACACAAAATTGGCTGGAAGCTCATTCCGACCCAGGCTGGCTTCGAACTCATGACCTTCTGGTCGGAGTGATCTTAATGCAGCTGACACTCAGCCAGCTGCGCCACAATCCCGGTGCACAATCCCACCTAAATATTAAAACCAATAATTAAAAACCACACAATCTAAAATCATAGTCCAAGAGCCATTCTGGTTGTGATTGCACTGGTTCCATATCACTTATTGCACTGAGTTTATTGTCCAAAGGCTTGGTCCCACAGTCACGTTTTTAATTTCTTCCTAAAGGTCAGGAGGAAGTTTTTGTCAAAGCAGTCACTCTTGGGAGCAGTTCCTTAACTGAAATATGCCTATATTATATTTTCATTTAAATGTTCACCAATAGTTCCCTTACTTCTATTTTCTCAGAGTAAATCTGCCGATGTGGTGACCATCTCCTCAAAATACAAGCAGAAATATGAGTGCCGGCTGCCTGCTGCGGCTGTGAAGATACATCAGGACAAAGAGGAAGATCCACAGAGCTATACTGGCCTGGGAATCTCAGAACTGCTGAAGCCCATGGAAGCCGCACCTTGCCTTATCAAGGTACTTTTACACTATGTTTGGAAGGAAGGAGCCATTGGAATCTGAGGTGCATGGCGTTTGTAAACCAATCTTCTCTGAGGTGTTTTTCCTCACAGAGCTCCCAGAGGCATATAAAAAGACAATGCCAGATAAGCAAAGTACATACTCATTTCAGTAATTGTCATAAGGACTCTTGGAGGCCAATCACTATCCTTCCCATTTCACAGCTATGGGGACTGAGGTTGAGGGACTGGCTTCAACAGGGCTGCCCTGATGTTTGTGGAGACCCAGTGCAGGTACGATGTTGATGAACCCTGCAGAGGTCTCCCTATGAGACATGTGAAAGGTCAACAGTATGGCAAGGTTACATGGGACCTCTTGTGTTATATAGGCCAAGGCTGCAGAATTTGGGTGGTGGTCCTTCAGGAGAGGTCTAATTCAAGAGGCAGTTTATCCAGGTTTTGAATCAGTGAAATATCCTGGACCTTAACCCTTCTCCTTTTCCTCTCAGACCAAGGACTGGTGGACCTACGAGTTTTGCTACGGGAAGCACATCCAGCAATATCACATGGAAGGTACTTTCTTCTCCTTTGCCACTTGGCTGCCTGCTTACCTGCCTGGTCTACGTTTAAGGAAAAGTTAAACTGGGTACATCACAAATGCTAAGTTCTGAAAGGTTCGAGAAAGCTAAAACGAAGTCATTCTGTACAGAATGCTTGGCTAATCTATGAACTAGACCAGGGGTCCTCAAACTTTTTAAACAGAGGGCCAGGTCACAGTCCCTCAAACTGTTCAAGGGCCGGATTATAATTTGGAAAAAACATAATTTGAATTCCTGTGCACACTGCACAATACCTTATTTGTAGTGCAAAAAACACTTTAAAACAATACAATAATTAAAATGAAGAACAATTTTAACAAATATAAACTTATTAGTATTTCAATGGGAAATGTGGGCCTGCTTTTGGCTGATGTGATAGAATCGCTGTTGTTGTTGTGTGCTTTCAAGTCGTTTCAGACTTAGGTTGACCCTGAGTGAGGACCGGGTAAATGACCTTGGAGGGCCATATTATCTGCAGATAATCATAGCAAACATGAATCGTCTAACTTTTCTTTATTTTAAACTGGCATAAATATGGGTTTTCTTCGCCCAGCTGTTCTTCTTGAGGTGGGAAGGAAAATTAATACACCAGCATCCTTTCTTTTTGCATCAGTTCACAAAATTAAAACACATCCCTTGGTACCATAATTTCACTCACCCAAGTCCCTAATTTAAGATCACAGACTTGATGCCTGTAGAAATAGACCCTTCATATCTTGTAGTTTTGTTCATATTTGGGATTTTAGTGTATCATGGTTTCCTTGGGGAGTTTGTGATGGGAGAGCTTACTTAGACCTCTGTTGGGGTTCAGCCTGAGTTTGAACCTGATTCTCTGTTTGTACCTCCTGATGCTAATGAAAATGTATTTACTGATGCTAATGAAAATGTACTTCCTGATGTTAATGAAAATGTAATTCTTGATGTCAATGATCCTGAAATTAGTGACAATGCTCCTGAAATTAGTGAGGAAGAAACTTCTGTAGATTTGGAAAATGAAAGTACCAGTGTTCATGAGAATGTTTCAGAGGGAAGCAATGACCTTTCACTCCCTTCTTCACCTGGGAACCTTAATGAGAATAGAAGGGGGCAGATCTGGCAAGACAGGAGTAAATCACTCAGCTTGCGAAGGTCTTCGAGATTAAAAGAAAAACAAACAAGGGCTTCAAAGCAGGGAGGCGTATCATGAAACCAATTCCTCGGCTTTAAGTGCCTTCCGCCAGGCTGACTTTCTCAGTTCAGGCATCGTTTTAGATTGATGAAGACCTTGGCAGTTCTACCGGTTCCTCTGGCCATCGGCTTGAGAGATTTCTAGGACACCAAGTACGGTTAGTGGATTGCTAACAGGTTCCAGTATTTTACAGTGTGGCTTTGGGTTTTTGATCTTGTTCATGGACATTCATGTTTGCTGATTTTGCTGTGGCTTTTGACTTTGCATTTTTCCTTTATTTTGTAACCATTTTTCATCAATAAAAAAGGATTGTTTTTTCCCAGTCAAGTGTGGTGGATGGTTATCTTAGGACCTCGTTTCCTGCTCTGGATTCCAACAACCTCCATTTCTTTTGAACAATTTGCTTCGATATGTTTAAAATAAAACTTTTGGTATTGTTCCCAGGCCATTGATGTATGTGTGTGTATGTGATTGTAGCTGGAATGGTGACTTGAATTTTGATCCTGGTGTGTAACTCATTCTAGTTTCTTTGTCCTATGCTAACATTCCCTCCCACCATGAACAGTGCCATCAAAAATATAACAAAACAACAGGATCTTGCAGGATTACACATCCATGCACGTAATAAAAGTGAAAATTGTATGTGTGTGTATGTGGCTGGGGTGTCTACTTACACAGACAGGCTTCTACTTCCAAATAGCTATAGCTTCCACTACTCAGGAGACACCAGTGGCCCTCCCCTCCAATGATATTGCAGGTTATAGTGAGTGCCATTAACATGTCCAAAGGCCCTGTCAATGTCCTCCAAAACATCATACTGCCACCACCCAAGTGAAGGCTTTCATATGGGGACCATTTCATCCTAGATTTTATATGTTTCCTCCACCACAGGCATCCCAGGGCCCTTCTACACAACCCTATATCCCAGAATATGCAGAAAATCCCACAGTATCTGCTTTGAACTGGGTTATCTGAATCCACACTCAGATAATGTGGGTTTTTTTGCCTTGATATTCTGGGATATAGGGCTGTGTGGAAGACCCCCCAGTGTTTCTTCTCTCTCCATTGGTTTGGGATTTGCATGACTCCGCCTACTGCCTCTCCCTTAACATTTTTCAATTATTTTCTATGGTACACGGCCAACAGAGGAATTGATCAGCAACTGAACATGCTAGAGAGGTTTGGGGAGAATTCACAATGATTTATAGGAGTTGTTGGTACTGGGATGTATAGTTCCCCTGCAGTCTAAGAGCACTCTGATCTCCACCAACGATGGACTTGGAACTAACTTGGTACACAAACCCCCATGACCAACAAAACGTTCTGGAAAATAACCCAGGCAGTGCTGGGTACCCAATTTATAATAAATGTAATGTGTGACTATAATTTCTAACATGTTATTTATAATAAGTGTGTAGCAAATTCATTCTGGTCTGAGCTTTTATGAGCCCAGTCTGCTTCATTAGGGGCAAGACCTTGGCTCCTAGGTTACTCACAGGTTATTTATGCCTTCCCATCTGTTGTCTCCCCAGAATCTGAAATCAAGGGCGATATCTTATACCTTGGATATTACCAATCTGCATTTGACTGGGACAATGAAACGGCAAAGGTGAGTGTTCGAGCCTGAATTAAGGTTTCCTTTTGGAAATAACAGAAGAAATGACACAGGAAATAGCTTCCTCCTGCCCCCCTTTCCAACTGCAGTGTTTGAATTTGAGAAATTTCAGGAAGAGGCTTTTTACAAGTTTTTTCTTCTGCATCATAACCAGACAACAGTGAAAATTATTCCAATATTTATGTAGTATTTTCTCCCATTGTGTCTTTGCTTCTTTTTTCTCCTCTTCCTCCTCTTCTTCCTGTTACTGTAATATCAAACTGTTCTCTCAGTCTGAGGCTTGAAGTGACTTATAAAAGTTAAAATTGCTACAACTAAAAAATCCACATTGTGAAAAAGGTCCAAATAGTATTCATTTTATTAATATGGCCATTAAATAGAAAAAGAAAAACTATGAAAACAATCCAACTTATTCTCCCCCAGCCCCTTGTCCAGCAGTTGGCTTCCAAAAATCTCCCAAAACATAAATGTTTTCGGCTGCCTTCAGAACAGATATGGATAAAACATCTTGTTCCCCTGTCTGCTTAATTGAAATGTTTTTAGCATATTTAGATGCTATTACATAGTTGAATATATATTTGAACGTTTTATTTTCATTTTAACTGGTCTATGTAAACGTTAAGATGCTTTTCTAAATGAGTTGTATTGATGTTTGCATTGTTACCCTGTTGAAGAAGGCCGCAATCTTGGAAAGTGATTCAGAAATACGTTTAAAGAAAATCTCCTGTTACAGTGACCTGCCTTGGAGTACAGTGAGGCAGAGAGAGATTCCCTTCTGTGTTTTCTTGTTTTGATTTGTCTTGTTCTGGCTAGGAAATGTATTGAGCAAATGTGGTTCCTGCCACTTGGCTATGGAGGACTTAACCCAGAGCTTTCCTTTTTGCATTGGTTTGAAGGCTCATTAAAGAAAAGGTTGAAGTGACCTTTAGAGACTTAAGTTTCTGCTCTCTTAATGACCTTTGTCAGACTTTTAGCTGCCTCATGTGGCAAAGCAGGGACCTCATAGATTCAAAGAGTTGGAAGAGACCTCATGGGCCATCCTGTCCAGCCCCCTGCCAAAAAGCAGGAATATTGCATTCAAAGCAACCCTGATAGATGGCCATCCAGCCTCTGTTTAAAAGCTTCCAAAGACGGAGCCTCCACCACACTCCGGGGCAGAGAGTTCGACTGCTGAATGACTCTCACAGTCAGGAAGTTCTTCCTAATGTTCAGATGGAATCTCCTTTCTCGTAGTCACTTTCTTTCTTCCAATCCCACTGAAAGTAGTTTCTTTCTTGGATATTTCCAGAGTGCTCATGGTGGTTGTTCCCATGTTATGCTAGAGATAAACTGCAACTATTGCCTGTATCTAGGATCAACCGTAATCGAATTTATCTGTGGTGTCTGCTTATAAAGGGGCTTTCTAATTACTCATAGGAAATTGAGGGAGAAGCTGTGATAATTTCCAATGCTCCTTTACATTATTTTCAGAATTTCCTGGTTCTTCTTTTCCACTGCAGGCTTCTAAGCAACACAAATTGAAGCGTTATCACAGCCAGACCTATGTCAATGGTTCCAAGTGTAACCTGAATGGGAAGCCCAGGGAGGCTGAAGTCAGGGTAAGGAAAGGGTCTTTCTGGCTCCTTGAGAGCATCTCTTCTGTCAGCAGCTGTGATGGAAAGGGAGTTGGTCTTTGTGGTCACAGAATGGTAGAAGTGGGAAGCAGCTCTTGTACTTCTGTAATTTTAACTGCATGTGATCTCTTCACCAGTGTAAGACTCCCTTTCATGCTGGCAAACTCAACTGGATATAATGCATCATCCTTTTGGAGAGAGGCACTTCCCACTCATCCCCAGCTCATAAATAACTATCCAAGTGCTTTTAACAAGGATGCTAACAGATTTCAAAGTTATTACTGTTAGTTGCTAGGGCTACCATTTGTGGGGGTGGAAGCCAGGATGTAAATGTAATCAGAGCTTTTCCACATCCTTGTTCCAGTTCCTGTGTGAGGAAGGTGCAGGTGACTACATTGCCCGTGTGGATGAACCTCAGTCCTGCTCCTATGTTCTGACCGTCCACACCACCCGCATCTGCCATCACCCATTCCTGCGGCCTCCATCCACAGCCTCCCCTCAGACCATCCACTGCCATCCAGCTTTGAGCCCGACTGAATATGTGGAGTATGTCAAGGCCCAAGTGTGTGAGTACCTCAGAGTTGTCTTGTCTTAGGACGCCTGTGTCAAATTCAAGACTCATTGGTGAATCCGACTCCCGGTGCCATTTTATGTGGCGCTCCAGATTCTTAACTACAACTCCTGTATTCCTCATCATTAGGCATCATTTGTTTGATGTTGTTTGATATTTGTTCGTTTTGGCAATGAATGTTTGCCACTTTGTTCTTTTGTCTGTAAACCTCCCTGAGTCCCTTTGGGGAGATAGGGCAATATATTATTATTATTATTATTATTATTATTATTATTATTATTAATAATAATAATAATAATAATAATAATAATAATAGGAGCAAGCCATCAGAACCAATGCAATTAAGGCCAGGATTGAAAAATCAGCGGATGACCCAAAATGCAGACTGTGCAAGGAAGCTGATGAAACCATAGATGTTTTCCTCGGCTGTTGCAAGAAAATTGCATAGACGGACTACAAACAAAGACACAACTCTGTGGCACAGATGATTCACTGGAACTTATGTCAGAAATACCACCAGCCAGCAGTAAAGAATTGGTGGGATCATAAACCCTCAAAGGTCATGGGAAATGAACATGCAAAAATACTGTGGGACTTTCGAATCCAGACTGACAAAGTTTCGGAACACAATACACCAGACATCACGATTGTGGAAAAGAAAAGAGTCTGGATTATTGATGTCGCCATACTGGGTGACAGTCACATTGAGGAAAAACAACAGGAAAAACTCAGCCGCTATCAAGACTTCAAAATTGAAGTGCAAAGGCTCTGGCATAAACCAGTACAGGTGGTCCCAGTGGTCATTGGTGCATTGGGTGCCGTGCCAAAAGATCTCAGCCGGCATTTGGAAACAGTAAACATCGACAAAATCACAATATGTCAACTGCAAAAGGCCACCTTACTTGGATCTGCGCATATCATTCGAAAATACATCATACAGTCCTAGACGCTTGGGAAGTGTTCGACTTGTGATTTAGTGATACGAAATCCAGCATATAGATCTCATTTGCTGTGACATACTGTCCTTTTGTGTCAATAATAATAATAATATTAATATTAATAATAATAATAATTGTTATTATTATTATCACGACAACAGCTGATGAGAGTTGTGATACTGTAACACCTAGAAGGTTGCAGTTTCTTCTGCTGGGTCAACATAGCAGAGTTTGAATTTAGATACAAGGCTTGAGGATATATGCTGTTTGACTTTAAAATGTCCTCTAACCTTTCCCCAACCTCAGAACCACAGTGCTGTTGAGTTGCAGTTCCCATTATTCCAGTCTACATGTCAGATAATAAGTTGATGTTCAATAACATTTGGGAACCTAAATTGGGCAAATGCTAAAGAGCACCAACTGCTATGTAAAATATATATATAGTTATCCATGGATTCAGCAGCTCTTTGAAGGTGACCATAAGGCTGATGTGACCCTCAATGAAAATGTGTTTGGCACCCCTGTCTTAGGGTTGCAGCCCTTGTGTTTCTACTTGGGATTGTTCTAGCAAGAGGGATATATCATTGATCAGGGGCATAACAATCGAGATATCTGATCTCAAACAATTAAATTGTTGTAAGACAGATGTTGGTAACACTGGTAGGCCCAAGGCCAGTTCACCCCCATCCCTGCTGCCCTACTAGATCCACATTGCACTCTCTTAAAGGGACCCATGGCATAGACATCTTAGAGATGAGATGACAGATTGCTGTACCTTCAGTGAGGCCATGAATTCATATCTCCTTCAGATTTTTACATTGGTGGGGAATCTCCGTTTCTGTGTCCTCATTTGCTCTCTTTGTGTAGTAAGAGCCAAACAACTCCAAAAGAGTGATCTTGTTAGTTTATTACCCTTGACTCCCAAAAGACTTTGGAAAACCCCCAGTAGTCTTGAACTTTTTGTTTATTAGCCACAGTGGTCAAGAATGTGTGAGGCAATGGGATATAACAGCATTTCTTTATTTCAATTTCTGCAGCTGATACCAAGCGCAAAGTGGAGGAGATCTCAGAAGAGCTGAAAGCATTAGACACACGACTGTGGAATGAGCCAGACCGTAACTCTGCTATTCAAGATGCAGATGGAAATGGTAGAGCACCTTGTTCTTGCCAACTTTGTGCTTTCTGAACTACAGCTTCCGTTCCCAGGGCTGGTGGGAATTGTAGACCTAACCATTTAGCATTTTGGAGAGGCTAAAACAACAACAACAACAACAATAGATGCCAATAAAATTAAATTAATTGAGGCATCAGTAGGTTAAATGTTTTTGAATATTTACCATATTTCAAAGCAAAACAGTAAACCAGCTCTGTAAGTGGAAAAGGAGGGTCAACAAAAATAATATGGTATCAACAATAACTTTATAATAATGGGGACTCAGGGTGGCTTCCAACATAGTAACAGGCAAACATTCAATGCCTATATAAACAAAAAAAACATACATTCCAAACTAAAATGAGTTTTAATGGTAGCTCATAGTTGCAGCTAAAGGGCTGAGGTGCTTCTCATCACTGGAAAGTCCTGCTAAAGTCAGTTGATACAAGTCCTGCAGAGATGCTGTGGATAAGTCCTATTGCTTCCTCCCAACTCATACTATGGTTTTTTTTGTTTTGTTTTTGTTTTTTGTTTTTGGTTGCTGGTTTGTTCAGTGACCCCAGCTCCTTCTTCCCCTCCTGAAACTGAACAAGACGATGACACCAATTTCTGGGAGGGAGTAATGCGTGGAGATGGAAAAGCATCCCAGATGCCAAAAGACACAGAGGTAATACTTAATTGTAACAGTTGCTTGTATCTTCCCCATTATAACAATGAGGACTCCCTTATCCATAAATCTGAAACCAAAAATGGAAACTGTTGTCCATTTCTTCCTTTGGCAAAAGGGGTCTAGTTACATGTCCATCAACACTGGGTTTTGCTTCAGAGAGGCTGTTCTCCATCACTGTCAGAAATTTGACAGGGGGCGGAGAACAGTGAAAAGGGTCAAGAAAGGCTACAGATCCTGCAGCTTCACTCAATAAAGCTCTTGTAAAAAGCAGACACTCTAGACGAAACGTGAGCAAACTTCAGCCCTCCAGGTGTTTTGAACTGTAACTCCCACAATTCCTAACAACTGGTAGGCTGTTAGAAATTGTGGGAGTTGGAGTCCAAAACACCTGGAGGGCTGAAGTTTGCCCATGCCTTCTCTAGACACTTCCCTCGCTGTTAGCACACTTTCAGACAATATGGAGCAAGGGCTTCTTGAGTATAAATGACTAATCCCCTTTCCCTCATCCGGTATGTACATGCAAATACAGATATTCAACTGTTTAACATTACAAAATAGCCATTTTTCAAAACCAGAAGTGCACGTCCAATCACTTTCTTTCTTTTTTCTTTTCTTCCTCCCTCCTCTTCTTTTTTGAACATTTAGACACTCCTTGCATTCTCCAGAGAAAGTGGGATCCAGTAGATCAGCAGTTCTCAACCTGTGGGTCCCCAGATGTTTTGACCTTCAACACCCAGAAGTCCTAACAGCTGGTAAACTGGCTGGGATATCTGGGAGTTGTAGGCCAAAACACCTGGGGACCCACAGGTTGAGAACCACTGCCGTAGATCCTGAATCTATTGCAATTGTCCACCTCTAATTAACCAAGAAAATCTCTGTTTGGATTTTTTTTTCTCCAAGTAGAAATAGCTAATTTACTTATACATATTTCCATACCATCCCACATGCAAAGTGTTCCTCTGTGCCTGTGAAATGCATGCAGTTCAACTGACAATGGGAAAAAGTTGAAACTTTAGATACAAAACGCTGCATCTTTTAAAGTTGGTTTGGGAGAGTTGAGTCTTGTTTGAGTTTTGAAACTTGCTGTAAGTGCTTGTGATGGGGCAGATATTGCTAACAATAACAATAATAATAACAATAATAACAATAATAATAATAACAACACATTTTATTTGTTACCCGCTTCTCCTAACAACTTGAAGCAGGCTACAACAAAATCAAAACATACCAACATAAAATATATACAATAAAATACATACATCAAAATACACCATTGTTTTATAAAAGGAGCCCTCGGTGGCAAAATGGGTTAAAGGCTTGTGCTGGCAGGACTGCTGATCGAAAGGTCGGCAGTTCAAATTTGGGGAGCTGGGTGAGCTCCTGGCTGTCAACTCCAGCTTCTCATGCGAGGACATGAGAGAAGCCTCCCACAGGATGGTAAAACATCTGGGCGTCTTCTGGGCAATGCCATTGCATGTGGCCAATTCTCTCACACCAGAAGCAACTTGCAGTTTCTCAAGTCGCTCCTGACATGAAAAAAATAAAAATAAAAACATACACCATAACAAGGTACAAAGATGAACATATAGCAGCAATAGAATGCAAATCCAAAATTCATGATTCAAAGTTCGCTGGGCAGGCTTGATGGAAGAGATGGGTCTTCAGTTGGGTCTTAAATTCCAACAGCTTGTTTAGCTGTCAGATCTCTTCCCGCAGGTCATTCCACAGTCTTGGGGCAGTTGATGAAAAGGTCCTCTGGGTGACGATCGCCAGTCAGGTTCTGGCTGGTTGGAGTAGTTGCCCCCACAGAGGACCTAAGTGTTTGGGTTGGATTGCATGCGAGAACGCAATCCTGTAGGTAACCTGGATCCAAACTGTAGAAGATCAAAATCAACAATTTGCCTGGAATTTAATTGGCAGACAGTGGAGTGATTTTAATATAGATGTAATATGCTCACTCCTGCATGTTCCTGTAACTGTTCTTGCCACTGTGTTTTGAACTACTGTGACTGGAGTTTCTAAACTTGGTATAGAGATAGCCCAATGTAAAGCACATTGCAGAAGTCCAACCTTGAGGTTCCCAGTGCATGCAATACTATCTTTAGGTCCCCCAATTTTAGGAAGGAATGCAGCTGGTGTATCAGGCGAAGCTTGTAGTAAAAGCACTCCTGACCATTGCATCTACCTGGTCTGACATTTGGAGAGATTGATCCAAGAGCACTCCCAATCCTGAAGAAGTGTAACCCCATCCAGGACTGGTTGACACACTTCCATTCCCAGATTAGGACTCTTAATGGCAAGCATTACCTGCTAAACAGGCATGGGGAAACTTTGGCCCTCTAGGTGTTTTGGACTTCAACTCCCACCATTCCTAACAACCAGTAAGCTAGCTGAGATTACTGGGTGTTGAAGCCCAAAACACCTAGAGGGCCTAAGTTTTGTCATTCCTGTGCTAACACATGCCACAGCATGGAGTACCAGTAACTATATCTATTAAAAGTTTCATTTGTTGAGTATGACTGAATGGTTCAATGTGCCTCATTTTATGTATAGCATCTGCAGCGCCAAAGAAAATGTGGGAAATCAATCCTGGCAGAGCTCAAGGGCTTGTGTATTGCAGAAAGGGTTCACCATTTAATCCTACTATGATATAGCTCCTGTGGATAGTACGCCAACTATTCCTCTTATGATTTTTTTTCAGGAGGAAGAATCAATCCTAAAAACAGAAGAAAGTCATCTGGCAGGTAAGTTGCAATGGTCTAAAGCAGTGGTTCTCAACCTGTGAGTACCCAGGTGTTTTGGCCTACAACTCCCAGAAATCCCAGCCAATTTACCAGCTGTTGGGATATCTAGGAGTTGAAGGCCAAAACATCTGGGGACCCACAAGTTGAGAACCACTGGTCCAAAGCAGTGTTTCTCAAAATGCTCCTCCAGGTGTTTGGACTTTAGCTCCCACAATTCTTAACAGCTAGTAAGATTGCTGGGATTTGTGGGAGCTGACGTCCAAAATACCTATAGGAGCAGAGTTTGATAAACAGTGATCTAAAGAGTACAAGATAAAATGTTGTTATTGGGAAAGTCCTCCTTTGCCCTCTTTTCCAGTGGTAATGCTGTTGAAAATCTCCAAATAGGCAGAGGATAGGAGGAGACAGGGTGGGTGTAAAAAGACTTTGTAAAAAAATATGTATTATAACTTCATTGTGTTATTATCCACGGGACTGGAATGAAGAGCTATCTGTATAGAACTGTGGTCCCATGGAAGGTGACATAACATTCAACACACTGGGCACCTCCACTGTATACATGTATAGTCTAATTTTATAGCAAGTTTCTGATCCTTAAGGCAATGGAAAGGCACATGAATGGGCAATGCCTGTGAAAGCTCAAACGGTTAATGGAGGATCAAGCCTTTATTAGTCAGAAATGTGATATATTTCATGCAGAACAAATTTCACAGGACTTCTACAGGCTTCTAAATTCAGCCCTGTGTTTACTAGCTATGTTAATTGTCTGAATTCCTGTCAGCCACATGTTTTCGTGAGCATCTAATACATGTTGCCCAAATCTTTCTAGATTTCAAGAAAAAAATACACTTTAAAGTTATCCGGAATCCTGGAGATCTGGTTCAGTTCATTCATGATTTGAAGGAGAGTGCCAGGAAGGTAAGATTTTATGGCAAAACATTGCATCTGAAGGTGGGCTGAGGCTCAGAGTTTCCACTGAATGAATGAGATGCACATCTTCATAGCTTCTTATTCCCACCCTGATAAAGCAGTCATGATGTGTGCAAATACAACTGATTTTTAATGTAAATCCTGATGAGCACAAGCCCTGCCTTTTGACTCCGCATTACCCCATAGATTAGAGTTGGGCAAAATCTAGTCCTCTAGATGTAGTTGGATTGTCCCTCCCTTGATCTTAATCAAAATTCCCAATGCTGAAGTGTAGTGGGAATTTCAGTCTGACAATGGCTATGGGCACTGCCTTCCCTGTCCTAGACTAGTCTGTGTAATGTGTGTGGAACATCATATTAAAAGGCATGTTTTTGACAGCATTTCTGGAACAGTTTGTGCCTTTGGTATTAGGATGCTTGTTGTCATTTTGCTTAAAAATATCCTTCATTGGAGGCTTTTAAGCAAAGTTTGGATAACCATCTCTCTGAGGTGTCTAGCTGTGAGTTCTTGTGTTTGCCCTGATAGCCCTGGGGGTGCACTGCAACTCTGTTTGGTTTGTGTCCTGCCTTTCTCTTGCCAAGGGAAGATATGGATGACTTAGATCACCCAGACTCCACCTTACTTTCTGAGTTGCCATTTCTTCCTCTAGAGTAAGGAGAAGACTAGTGAATCAGAAGGAGGTTTGCAAGATGCCTCACCCAAAAAAGAGTCAACAGGAGAGATGGGGAAGCCTGAAGAAGGGGCCCAGGAAGAGGAGGAGGAGGATGAAGAAGAACTTCTGGGGAAGTTCGAGAAGGAGCTGGAAGACATCCTGCTGCCAAAGTCTGAAATGGCCAAACTGAAGGAAGAGGTGAAATCTGAGATGGAGAAGGAGTTTGATCACATCATTAATGAGGTAAAGATCTGTGAGGACGGATATGGGGAAAGGATTTTTAAAAAATACAAAACACATTGTCCACAATCCAGTAGAGGTCATGTTACTTGAGGGATTCTAGGAGTTACATTCCAAAAAAATAAAATGTATGGCTCCTTTTCGTTCCTGTCTGTGCTGTATTCTTGAAAACAACAAAGCAGAGTTGGAGCCAATATTTGATGCTGCTTTTCTTTAACTGTTGTTTGCACAACCAGTGCCTTATATATGAGAAGGCATTAAAGCATTTCAGGATTCTTTTGATTAAGGAACAAGAATGAGAGCGGGAGAGAGACAAAACTGATCTACAAAAAAGATAAAGAGAAGGAAGCATCCTCATTCCATTCCTTAAGACTAAACTCTGGTTTTGTTCTGTGAAGTTGGTAGTGACTGGTTTATTTTGAGAATATGGCGCAGTATTTCACATATAGTTCTTGTAGCCCCTTTGAGACCGAGGGACATAAATTGGTAGCACAAGCTTTTGCAAACTTATTTTCCTTGGATGAATGGGATGAGGAGTGGACTTTGCACTCCATGCATCTAATTAAGTCTATGAAAACTTATGCTACCAACTTCTTTTTCTCAGTATCAAAGGTGCTACAAGATCCCTTTGAATATTGATACTCCAGATTAACCTAAATATGTATTTCAGTCTTCATATTGTACATAATTGGGTTTTGTGACATAATGCCTTCAGATATATTATCCTGCCTGTACACTGAACTGTGTCCCACCCCCATCTCAAGCACAGCTGGTGGGAACAAAAGAGAGGCCTTCTGTGTGGTTACCCCCACCTCTGGAACTCCCTCCCTAAAGAAATAAAGCTGGCCCCTTCCCTCCTCTCTTTCAAAAAACAACAGAAAACTTACTTTTGGTCAGGATAAGATGATGAGAGACTGTCACTAGACCTCTGACTGAACACTATTATTGTACTTGGGCTTTGTCAGACCATGTTTGTCCAGTTAACATCACTGGCTGCACAATCAGCTCACATATCTTAGTGAGTCTTCGTTGACTCCTGTAAACAAATGTGGATGTTTTATATTTAGGTTTTATGTTAGATATATTTTGATAAGTTACATTTTATTTAATGTATAGATGTCATGTTATAAGTTGTTGCCATAAGTGCGGTTGTTTGGGCTATTGTGTTTGTATCTGCTATTGCACTGAGGCATTGAATTTGTGTTTTATGTTTGTTGGAATCTGCCCTGAGTCCCCTCAGGGAGATAGGGCAGAATATAAATAAAGTTTATTTATTATTTATTTATTTACTATGCTTCTATACCGCCATTCTCAGCCTGAGGGCGACTCATGGCGGTTTACAAAAAGTTGTTGTTATTATTATTATTATTATTATTATTATTATTATTATTATTATTGCGTGTCATAGATTGTGGCATTAAAATCTCTTATATTTGGCATAGAAAGGAAGATTGTGTTCTTGCTGGTAACCCCAACAAAGATATTCCCTTCCTATCTGTGTGCCCTTTTTGTGCAGGCTCTTAGTCATGCTCTAAAAGGCTTTCTGTATAATGGTTGAGGTTATGAAGTCGGAAACGACTGAACGAATGAACAACAACAATAATGCTTCTTCTTTTGAAGTTGTCATTGGCTTAAGTTTACCACTGTGGTAGGAAATGAACCAGTCACAGCTTCAGATTGTCCAAAAATCTTGGTTTGTGTTTTTTTTCCTCCTCTGACTAAACTTGACAGGTGAAGGATGAGCTAGAAACAGAAGGCTTGAAAGGGGAGTTTGATCGAAAGCAAGCCTCAAAGTCTTTGGCATCAACTCTCAACAAGCTTATTGATAAGCTGGATTCAGGCAAAGTCCAAAATAAAGGTGATAAAGAGCAAGAGAAGAAACCAGAAGAAGAAGAGGAGGAGGAGGAGGAGACACCACTGGATGGAGGAGATTCTGCTAAAGAAGATGCAGCCAGTGGTATGTTTCATATAGATCAGTGGTTCTCAACCTGTGGGTCCCCAGATGTTTTGGCCTTCAACTCCCAGAAAATCCTAACAGCTGGTAAACTGGCTGGGATTTCTGGGAGTTGTAGGCCAAAACACCTGGGGACCCACAAATTGAGAACAATTGATATAGATGATGTAGAGTTCATTGTTTTGAGTACTGTTTCAGATAAGGGTAGTATGTTTGTGTAGTGTAGAGATTTTGAATAACAAGCTAGACTTTGGGCATGTCACACACTCTCAGCTTCAAAGGAAGCCAATAGCAAATCTTCTCTGAATAAATGTTGCCAAGAAATCTCTGAGATAAGGCCACCGTAAGTTGGGGATGACATACCAGTTTGAGGATCTGTCTGTAATAGCCAGCAGGAGGCACTATTCTGCTGTGAACTTTAAGGATATTGCTTTAAGGATTCACTTGCTAACTTGATCAAACAACAAAATATGAACAAGACTTGTCCTAAATAACTGTTAGTGACCAGCAAATGACATAAATAGAAAATATCTAGGAATAGTTAGGGATGGAGCATACCTCTGATCTTTTATGGAGCTAGATTTTAGGGAGCCACATTTTTATTACCTATCTTTACACATGTCCCTAAAGCAGTGGTTCTCAACCTGGGGTCCCCATATGTTTTGGCCTACAATTCCCAAAAATCCCAATCAGTATACCAGCTGTTAGGATTTCCAGGAGATGAAGACCAAAAACATCTGGGGACCCAGGTTGATAACCACTGCCCTAAAGTTCTTGCAGGAAAATGGATTGGGAGATGGCTAAAGATACTTAGGCTGGTAATAATAATAGTAGTAAATCTCACTTTTCTCCCTCACGGGACCCAAAGCAGCTTACAACATAGTAAAATTATGTACACAACATACCAAATACATCAATAATAAGTATAAAACATCATAAAATAACAATTTAAAACAACAATAATATACATTCACATTCTTGTGGCATCATGTCAGATCAAATTGCACTTTGTTCCAGTCCATAAACATTATGGTGTTTCTTTTCAGTCCAGCTTAGTTTCCTTCACTAAAGGCCTGTCTAATGTTTTTAATGGGTTCTTGAAAGAAGAAAGGGAGGGAGCTGTTTTAATCTTTTTTGGGTGGGTGTTCCACAGGGTAACTGACAAATATTTGGGTACATGTCTTGTGATACAACCAGCAAAATCTCAAGGTGTCTTGGTGGTTGGACTGGGATTCTCCTGCGTAGATTTGCTGATTACCTAAATCTTTATAAGAATTGTGTTCTTCTTCTTACTCCTTATTATTGATCAATAATTCACTTGGGGAAAACCTTTTTGGTTATTAAATCTGTTGCTGGGAATAAGTCTCTTTCTAATGAAATTTGTCAACACTTTGGAATTAATAAGTCTGCTGCTTCTGCTGCTGTCGCTATTTGGTCATTTCATCACTACTGACCATGTAAACCAGGCATCCTCAAACTGCGGCCCTCCAGCTGTTTGGGCCTCCAAATCCCAGAAGCCCTAATGAGCTTGTTCACTTGTCAGGAATTCTGGGAGTTGAAGGCCCAAACAGCTGGAGGGCCAAAGTTTGATTATGCCTGATGTAATCAGTTGGGCCTAATAACTAAACTTCTCATCTTTTGTCATTGAGTGTTTTGAAGTCTTCCATTGATTCTAGCTTGTGTGTGTGTGTGTGTGTGTGTCTGTAATAAAAAGTATTGCTGCTCTTGCTTATTTTGCACAATACTTCCTCTTAGCCATAGGAAAGGCTCTGCACTGAAGCTTTTATTTCCTTGTTCAGCTCTCCTACTTTGCTTCTGAAATTCCCTTCCAGCATTATCCAAACATTTTCAAGTCAAGCTCTAGGTGCTCAAGGTTTTGAAGTTAGAGGCCCCCTGGTTGTTATTTCCTGCACAAGCCCCTTCCCCAGCTGAATGTGGCCCAGTAGCCCAAACTTGCATTCTGCCTGCTGCTGGCAGACCCAAGCAGGAGCCAGAACCCATAGAATAGTGGTGGATAGCAGTGCACAACTAGTGGACTGAATTCAGTTTGGGTGGCTCAGAAACAAAGCTGATGTGGCTCACTGGCTGATCACTACACCTTTCTAGGACTTCTTGCCTTCCTTTTCCTCTGCTGTCCAGGCTCTTCTGCTTTTGCAAGGGTGCTTTGAAGCCCTTGATATTGTGCTCAAAATGCCTTTGGTGCGAATGTTGTTGTCCTAGAACTCATTGGTACAAGAGAGGCTCTCATTCTGTAGGCAGCCCTTGCGAGCAGATCCAGCCAGCTTATGCTTTGACTTTCCTCCTGCAAATGCCAATTCATTGATACGCCCTTGTCCCTTTTCTGTCTTAGATGGCAACCCGGACGGGCGCGTGAAAGTCAGGGTCACTAAAGTCAAGCCAGGTAGCACCCGGCAGAAGGAGCTGCGAGTCCAAGAGATGAGCAGGGACAATCCACAGCTGCGCCACATAGAGAGTGTGGTTAAGGACCTGTTGGAGAAGGAAGGCCTGAAGGCAGAAGGTAATGCAGCCATGCCACTTGGGCAAGAAGGGCGATAGGCATTGCTTAGAGCCTTTTCTGGGCTAGGTGCCATAGGCAGAGTGCAGGCAGGGACGCAAGGTCACCAGAGGATTCCCATGGCAAACTTTCATGGAGTCATGGGCTACCCTGATCCTGAGCTGATAATCTCAAGACATTATCTGATTAATGATCTTCCTGAGAAGGTTTTTGAGGCCATGATTGCCAGCATTTAATTTGGGGGCCATAGTTCACTAGGAGATCATTTGTGTTTTCACACACACTTCCTTGTTCCATCTGTGAAACTCAAACTGAATAGGATTTTTGGAACCTGGAAAAGAGCGCTGCCTGGAGATCATGGAAGACTCCAGGCTGTCTCAGTGGAAGAAGATGTTACATATTCAATGCCAAGATCTCACATATTCAATGCCAGGATGTTCACTCACTGCATAAAATGTATTTGTTTTGGGAAATACAGAATGGGCAAATGGTGTTTTTTAAAGTAACCATTGCTGACAGCTACCTTGACATACGTCTTCATCTTGAAATTTGAAAGAAAATAAAATAAACTGAGTCATGCTGAGTCATGCTATCCTTTGAGGGACTCATATTGAAAACAGGAGATTAAGACTTGATATTTAAAATGAATTTTCAAAAAACAGGGAGATCCAGGTAAGAAATACAGGAAACAGTTTATCTTTTCCATGAAACATCCTTTATCTTTCAAGTAGGGCAAATAGATGATTTGTAAGAGTAATTGATGCTGAAAGACGCCTTTAGATTATGTACGTTGATTTTTTTAAAAATGGCGTATGTGATCCTCAACCAATATTTCTCAAAACCTAAGCATTAAAGGAGTATGTTCAGAGAAATCTATATATACTGTGAGACTTAGACTACACTAAATAATCCATTCTCTTTTACTACCCACCCGTCCACCGCATCAAAATTAGAGATTGAGCAAGGCCTGATTTACTTAATTTTGAATTCTTACTAGACTGCATTCAAGTGAATAGCAGATCCATGTTGAATCTCAAAATTCTTGACTACCAGTGGTTTGTCCCTATACAGGGGGAGGGGGTGTCCATCACAGAGATCTTTTGGGTATAAGACTGCTGAGAACAAGAAATGTTGGGGCAGGCTTTGCATCTGAATCCAAAACATCTGAAAATCAAGCCCTTCTGCTACGTCAATCTGAATCTAACATCAAAACTAAAAACTAGTGAAATTGCCACATCCAGCCCTGGCCAGTTTGAATGGGCAGAGCTGACACTATCCATTATTTCTTTCCCAACTGTACAAGTGCTCTTTAAGGGCCCTTCCAGACAGGCCCTATATCCCAGGATCTGATCTCAGGTTTTCTGCTTTAACCTGGATTATATGATTTCCCACTGCCAGATAATCTGAGTTAAACAGAAAACCTGGGATCAGGACCTCACTGGAAGGGCCCTTAGTTATATTTTGCTGAGCTTTGCTTCATTTGGCTTTTCCTCTTAAGAGTATAAACTGTGGCAAGTCATGTGTTTGTTTTGCTGGAGGGCATAACTGCATATGTGTGCATGTGAATCCACTTTGTCCCATTCAGCCACAAAGGGGAAGGGGGACATTGAGTCTGGTTTCAAATGACTCAGCTCAGTCACTTCTCCTTTTCAGTCTCTTTTAGCACTAAGAACTACAGAGAGTGTAATCCTAGGGAGTCCACATGCTTTCTCACATTTAATCATTTGCATGTGATTCCTCGCATTCAAAAGAGAATAAGGAATAAGTAACACAAAAGTCTCTAGGACTTGCCTTCGCTTACCCTAGAGCAGTGTCTCCCAACCTTTTTAGACCAGGGACCACTTTGATTAGGAACCACTTAACCAGGGACCACTCTCCAACATTAGTACCAACAGGGTGACGAATTGGTTTTTGGTCAACTTTTGATTTGGTTTGGTTGTTTGGAGTGCTGATTCAGAAAATTGCATTAGATATTTTAATAGAGAAGACAGCGGAAATTAAGACTTATCAGCAATTAAAAGAAAAAAACAAGAACCTGACATGGCTGCATTATTTACAAATGAAAGAATATATTAAGCAGGACAATAAGATAGGCTTCACCTGGGAAGAATCATTATGGGATAAAATTTTGAAGTTAAAGAAAAAAGTAATCTCATTTATCTATAACACACTGCTAACCTGGCTAACGGAACGCGAACAAGTTAAACCATGTATGATAAAATGGGCAGAAAATATAAGAAGACCCATACAATTTAGAGAGTGGGAACAGATGTGGAACAAAAAGTTGAAATATGTTTATGCCACAGATTTAAAGGAGAATTGGATAAAAATGTTCCACAGATGGTATACCACTCCAAAGAAATTATCTTTAATAAATAAAAATACTTCCGATAAATGCTGGAAAGGATGTCAGCAGACAGGTACCTTTTATCATATGTGGTGGACATGTAAAGAAGTAGTGAAATACTGGTCAATGATACACGAAGAATCACAAAAAATTTTGAAAAAAGCATTTAAGAAGAAACCGGAATATTATCTACTAGGCTTTACAGACATGGAATTACAATTACAGGAAAATGAGGACAGACTTTTTACCTATATTACGACGGCAGCAAGAATTATGTTAGCAAAAGTTTGGAAACAGGACAGTATCCCTACCAAGGAGGAATGGTTAGGGAAAATTAGAGAAATAAGAGAGATGGATGAATTAACTTTTTTTCTAAAAAAAAAATACCGGAAATCCGATAAAGAGGACAGACTGGACCTTTTATGATAGTTACGAGAAAGAAGATAGTAAATAAGAGAACTATTTTAAAATAAAGAGAGCATTTTTTTTCGGAGACAAAACACCTGATGTGGAGATGGAAGTCAAACCTTTTTTATTTTAATATAGTTTTTTGTGTACTTTTTTGGGATTTTTATCTTTATTGCTTTTGTATTTTTTGTTGCTTTTTTCCCTTTTTCCCCCTTTTTATTTATTATTTTTTATGTATTTTTCCTTTGGATTTTTCCTTTTTTACACTCTTTTCCTACTGTTCTATCCTCTTTTAAATGTTCACCCTCTTTCGTTGTATTTAAGATATAACCTAATAAAAATTATTCAAAAAAAAAAAAGAAAATTGCATTAGATAGACCACATCAGCTCTAGTTTCTGATACAGAATATATGGCACCCAATAATTGCCATCTGCTCACCCACAGAAAACCATATTTAATAATCTAGAGCTGATGTGGTCTATCTAATGTGATAAAAGTAATCTTTTGTGGGTAGTCAGCCTCTCCGCTCCCGACATCCCCATTGCCTCGGCACTATAGTTAGCAGTTACCTGCCCGTTCTTCTCTTAATGGACAATTGCCTTTTAATGTGTGGGGAAACATTAAACTCCGTGATAACATATTCCATTTCCAGTTGAAGTGATATGACAGGGAGCTCCAAGGAGAAACTCTTGGGAAGAATTACTTTTTGGATTATATGTCCAACAATCTCTTGCATTGGCTGGGTTATAGTTCATCCCCTTCTTTTTTTCAAGTTCTGATATAAGGTGATGCTTGGTTTGAGCCTGCATGAATTGTCTTTGTAAGCCTCTGCATGCATCTTTGCTACTACTTGGGCGAAAGTCACTGTTATGTAGCTCCATCACTTGCCATTGCTTCTCTTAAAGAAGAAGAACATTCTTTCTTAGCATTGAATTAGCGAAAGGTCCCTGCTAAGTTCATCTACCCTCATAGGCCATTTTCCTAAATGTGACTCTTTAAGATAATTGTTTTTTAATTTTAGCGTCTTCCAAATGTTTTGAACTTCTATGCCCCTCAACCTCAGCCAACATAACCACTCATGAAGACTGCTGAGCTAAGCAATACCTAGAAGCCTAATGGTTGTTTTGTTTGCTCTGTAACTGGCAGGTAAAATTGAAATCAAGATAGTGACGACAGGTGGCTTGGGAGACGATGATGATACTCATTGGCTGTCAGAAGAGGACACCAAGAACCTCAAGGATATTTTCTTCAACATTTTGGTGAGCATCTAAGATGCCAACACTGGAAAACAGACATAGCTCCTCCTCTTACATTACGGTTGGGGTCAACAATGTTCATGTACTTACTTTTCTTGGCAGCATTGGTCTTTTTCCAAAGGAAGATGAATAGCACCAAATTGATGAATTTTGAGGATCAAACAGCCTCAAACTGCAGCCCTCCAGCTGTTTGGGCCTCCAACTCCCCGAATTCGTGACCATTGAACAAGCTTGCTAGGACTTCTGGAAGCTGGAGGCCAAAACAGCTGGAGGGCCTCAGGTTGAGGATACCTGCCTTAGAGATTGTTTGGGGAACACAGACCTGATTTATTGCCAAAGGCTTTCATGGCCAGAATCACTGGGTTGCTGTGAGTTTTTCGGGCTGAATGGCCATGTTCCAGAAGCATTCTCTCAGGACGTTTTGCCTGCATCTATGGCAGGCATCCTCAGAGGTTGTGAGGCCTCTTGGAAACAAGGCAAGTGGAGTTTATATATCTGTGAAATGTCCAGGGTGGGAGAGAGAACTCTTGTCTGGAGGCAAGTGTGAATGTTGCAATTGGCCTCCTTGATTAGCATTTAATGGTCTTGCAGCTTCAACATGGACACAGCATATCATTTGAGAGCACAAAAATACTGGATCAATCTAACAACTACCATGTCAGACTACACAGAGAAGCCATTGAAATCCACAAGCATGTGGACAATTTTAACAGAAAGGAGAAAACCAAAATCTGGCTACCAGTATTAAAAAAACTCTAAAATAAAAACAGTAAATAAAGAACAACACTCAAAAACAGGGGAATTCCAGACAAGAAACAATCAGGGCCAGCTAATACCTCCCAACAAATGATTCCCCCGGGCAATAAGCAGCCAAGCCTTGAAGTTGTAAGGCCATTAAATGCTAATCAAGATGGACAACTGCAACATTCACACTTGCCTCAAGCAGACAAGAGTTCTTTCTTCCATTCTGGACATTCTGCAGATGTATAAACCCAACTTGCCAAGTTTCAAACAGACCTCACTATCTCTGAGGATGCCTGCCATAGATGCAGGTGAAACATCAGGAGAGAATGCTTCTGGAACAGGGCCATACAGTCCAGAAAACTCACAGCAATCCACAGATCGATTCTCACAACTGAATTCCTCATAGCGCGGGGGGGGGGGGTATGTAGCTCCCATTCCTTTCAACAAGTCCCTGAACAGAGTTGTTTTCCAGTGAAATGGGAGCAGCAGCACTTCCCTGCATTCCTTTGTCTTTACCAGGTGGGGTGAGGGGCATTTCCATTTTGCTTTTCCCTAAAATATCTTGGGTTCGCAGTGGTTCCTAGAGTTCCTCATTTCCTGGACATATAGGTGGGGATGGTAGATTTCTCATGGCCTTGTTCTTCTTCACATAGATCCAGGGTACGGAAGAAGCTCACAAGGAACAGCGGCGCCAGCGTCAGCTGGAAGACAACTACCGTTTTGTGTGGGGACGCAACCAGGAAGAGCTACCAACTACTGGTGGCACGGATTCAGATGAGTTGGATTTCTGAACCTCACTGGTCCTTAGAACTTTGCCAACCATGCAGGACTGGGTGTCACCTTCCACTTGATAATCAAAAGGAGGATCAATGATTTTCCACAGTGATCAGAATCCCACTTGAATGCTCACAAAGCAAGCAGCCAGTGCAAGGGGCATCTTGGTTCTCAGGTGCAAAATACCTTCTTTAGACCGACAGCTGTCATGCCAAGTTTTACCAAGGCACCTTCATCACCTTTCTTCACCATATCACAATGGTATCTGTCAGCTGTCTCCAATAGTACTGTGGCCTTTCCTCAGATCCTAAACTTTGGTGCCCTCCAGTGCCGAGCTATTGGCTACATCCTCCAGCTCCCAGCCAGCTGTGCTTGGCTGGAGGAGGAGAAAGGCCAGGGTGCCCCCTGCCCCAGTGGAAGTTAAGGGCAGATCCAACTCTCCCGACCTGAGACTGTTAATCCCCATCCTGCTCCAGAGCCCCTACCAAAAAAAGCCCTTCAATTCAGTGAATGGTGGAATCAGGGTAAAAAACCTTTGTTTCTTAATGCCTTGTATATTTGGATAAATTCTTACCTCTGCACCCCACCCCACCCTGGTCTGGTTTGTGTAAGTGGTGTCACCTGTGTGCCTTGAAATGTCAAACTGAAAGGAGAGGGCTAGTATCTTTATTTTGTTTAGGCCTCTTCTCAAATCCTCTCCCCTTTTTTTGGCTTTTTGTCTGAAAGTTTGTGAATTGAGCACAAATAAGCCCCAAGTTGTACTGGCCATTCTTCATGACCAACTTCTCTGATGCTGCTCCAAGGTCATGTGGAAGCTGGCAGTTTGAGCTCATGAATACAGCAAAGAGAATGCAGAATGATGTGAAGGAAAGGTATTGGGTACTGCTTTCCGTTGTTGCATTGTTTAATCTCTGCTAGAACTCTAGGAATAGAACATGAACTGGATAGAAAAAAAAGTCCAGCCTCTGTGGACGAGCCCTACAGACGGGGCTGGCTGTTCCTTCTGTGAAACCCCAAGCTACAAACTTGGCTGGAAACTCTTCCAGTAAGAAAGTAAATCCAGTTCAAACACAGAACAATCAAAGCTACTTCATGGGTGACTGGAGAGAAAGAATTGCTCCCCCAGGAAAGAGGTGAGGCTGGAAGAATCCTGCCCGTCTCTCTTGGCACATCGAGGACTATTCACAGTTCCTTTTTTTCTGTCAATAAATCCAGATCACCCAAGCCTTGATTTTGGAAAGTCTTGTTCTGGCCCACTCAATAGTGTTCATGGATGCAAATTTTTTGGAACATTTAACTACAATACATTTTTTAAAAGCAATATTGGACCGTACTGCAGGATTATCACAGTCAGAAACACTGACTGACAAGCAGTGAGGAGCAAGCAGGAGGAGCTGCTTTGCTGAGTGAAGCCATATCTCCTCCGAGCCCGGTGCTTGTCTGACAGCATATTTTCTGCCTCTCAGGCCAATGTTGCATATTGCATTCATGTTGGCTAAGACTGGTAGTTGTTGTCAAGCAACATTCGGAGGTGGGTTCACATTGTTCTCATCCAGTTACCTGCAATCCCTTCCATTAGAACTGGGTTGGAATAATTCTTGCCTCTTCATATTGATAATAGTAATTCCAATCCTTCTTTTCCAGCACAGCTGATGGTAAGTAATACTAGGAGTGGCATTTCAACAATATCTGGAGGACCACATCACCCTGCTCCCCTTGTACTAGACCAGTGGTTCTTAACCTGTGGGTCCCCAGGTGGTTTGGCCTCCAAATCCCAGAAATCCCAGCCAGTTTACCAACTGTTAGGATTTCTGGGAGTTGAAGGCCAAAATATCTGGGGGCCCATAGGTTGAGAACCACTGGTCTAGAAGAAAATGAGTTAGTAATATTTCTTCAGACATTAATAAATAATAAATAAACTTTATTTGTACCCCGCTACCATCTCTCCTAGGGACTCAGTGCGGCTTACATTCCCTGCTCTTCATTGTTTCTTTTGAAGCAAAACATCCAGTGACACAGATCTTCAAATGCCCACTGCCTTCTTTGAGGCTGAGAGAATCTGATGATGAATAGGAATCTCTTAATTTGTGTTTCAACCTTTATGTAGTCTAGTATATACATGAAATGTGGAGCCTGAATGAAAAAAGTAAGCAATTAATAATTATTTAATAATATTGCTGTTTCTGCTCGCAAAGGTTGCAAGTGCATTTGTCGTGTGCCTTCAAATCATTTCTGACTCATGGCAACTCTATCACTTGGGCTAAGGATGTGCAACTTGTCCAGGATTACCAGTGGAGTCTCATGACCAAATAGGGATTTGAACCCTGGTCGCCAGAATCATAGTCCATCCTTCAAATCACTAAGCCATGAATATCAATTTGTGTCTGCTAATGTGTTAAACCTTTTCTGTACAATGATCAAAGCTGCAGGAGTACCGAGTTCTTTTTAACTTTGCCAAGCAAATATAGAAAAACATGGAAGTTGTGAATACACGTACACAATATCAATCATTTCTTATTTTCATGCCTGTTCAACTCCTCCTTAATTGCAATCTATTACTTGCTCTGGCCTCTTAGCCCTTGGGCAGAGCAAGCATTGCCAGAAGAAGGCCATTTGGGACCAGACGGAGAAGCTGCTTTGCGAACATTGCAATCTCATTTGAAATTTGGAGTGTGTCTTAAAACTGATGTGCAGATTTTTCAAGAGATTGTGAAACAGGATGACAAAGCGCTGAAGAAATCTTGCTCACTATTTATGGAAATTCAAGGAAGGAATATATGAGGGAAGAAAGTCAAGAAGAAAAAACTGAAGCCTGTTTTCTGGAAATACCTGAACTAAATTGCTTAAAGAGGCATCAAGACAGCTCCTGTATTGGTGTTGGTACTGGCAAATTGTTCATATTGCTGGTGCTATATTGAAGGTGTTGGCATTTACTCTTCTTTCTACATATTTCACTATGCCTCTGGTACTACCACTTTTTTGCCGCAAAAAAAGTCATAAACATTGCCTTTTAAGGATCTCCGTGTATATTGTTTTTGCAGGGCCCTTTGCCTTCATTATTCCTGCCTGTATTGCAACTTGGTTCAGTGCAGAATTGCTTGTAAATCATTAGCTTAGGCTTCAAGGAAGTGTTGAAGGAGGAAGCCAAGAATGGTTTAGATTATGTTTTTAACTGGGATAAAGTACTGTTGTCCTTTAGAAACCCCGTGTTTGCCCAGAAATGCATTATTATAACCTTCCTCAATTCAGTGTTTTCCACATGTATCAGATTCTTTGTAGCTCAGCAATTCTGGATTACACCAGATTGGGGAAAATTTATCCATGCCATTACTGAGAACCAAATAAGACCCCCACCCCATCCCCAAGTGTTTCCTGAGATCTTCCATAGCAGGAATGCTGGGGAACATACATTCTTTTTGGTCTTATTAGACTGCAATTGCCATCATTCTTTACCATTGGATATGAGTAGATGAGATTTAAATTTAGAGTAGATGAGATTTAAATTTTAGCTGCGTCTGGACAGCCACAAGTGGCCTGATACAACATTAATTAGAGGGGAAAGCCTGGAAGTCCAAGGAGTCGGCGCTTGCTTCCCAACTTCTTAAAGAGTTTCCTGACTCATTCAGGCCTATCCATCCCTTCTTTTGTGATTCTCACAAAGTGCAAGGCAAGAAGGCACCGTGTGTATGCCTCCTTCAAATGCCTATGCCACAACAGTACTCATCTCTGGGATTTCACTGACTTCCACTTCCACCATTTGTTGTGGCTCTGTGTTGCTAGTCCCCTGAATTTGGTTCTTTCCTCTATTAGATTTTCCTGGCACACTATGTCTTGAACTCTTTCCATTTTATCGTAACCAGTGTCTATTTGAAGTTGCCTGGCTGGGACTAAAATAGGAATTCCCTTGATAATAGTACCCATTCTGCTGCTCAAAAATCTTCCCTCTTGAACTACCCAGAATGGTGTTGTAGTCTCCTGGGTTGTAGTATGAATCTCCAACATTCATTTTTAACTTGGAAAGAGTAGTTTAGTATATCATGTCTACTTGGGATGCTCTAGATCTTTTTTTTTTCTACAGCAATGGTTCCCAACCTTTTTTTGACCAAGGATCACTTGACCAAGGACCACTTTGACCAGGGATCACTCTCCAACATTAGTACCCAAAGGGTTACGAATCAGTTTTTGATCAACTTTAGATTCGGTTTGGTTATTTGGGGTGCTGATTCAGAAAATTGTATTGGATAGACCACATCAGCTCTAGTTTCTGATACAGAACATATGCCATCCAGTAGTCGCCATCTGCTCGCCCACAGAAAACCATATTTAATAAGCCTCAGCACTATGAGAGAGTTTCGCTAGACCAGTCGATCTCGTTGCAACGGTGTAGTAACAGTGAGGCCGCGGACCATATTTTAGTTCTTGCAGAGCACAGGTTGGAAACCACTATAAGGAAGAGATGATACTGATCTAGGTGTGGAGGGATTTCACCTCTAGAGCATATAACGTCTTTCCAGCTGCACGGGGTTTTGGATAAGAAAGATTACCAAGATCCATTTCCATCTGGCTTCAGGAAAGTTATGAGGCAGATATGGCTTCTGTTGGATAACTTACAATGGTAACAGAATGCGAAGAATATGTTCCTATTTGTTCTGTTGGACTTTGCTGTGGCTTTCAGTATCTTCATTCTGTGCCATCTGGGATAGAGCTTGAGGTCACTGTTTTCTTCTGTTTCTTCTTGGAAGAGCAAACTCAGAAGATGGTGCTGGGATATTCTATTTTGTCTCCTTGGCATTTGGCTCATGGAATTCCACAGCCCTCTGACTTGCCTTCTGTATTACTCAACATGTATGAGAAACCCCTCTGAGAGCATTGATGCTGCTTGGAGTTTTTGGGGACATGAGTATGTTCATGTCACTCAACTATATTTCTCCCAAATGCCTAATTTCATGGAAGCCATTTCCAATCTAAATTGGTGTTTGTTGTCCCTACTGGACTGAATGAGGGCAAACAAATTGAAATGTAATTGAAATAAGACAGGGAGAACAGGGATGCAAATTGTGCTGATGACATTACACTCCCACTAAAATCTTTGCAGCTTAATTATATTCCTGGACTGAGATCTGAATGTGGGTGCCCGGTTTTGGTGGTAGTCATGAATGCCATTACTAGTGTACTTACTATGCCATTTCCTGGAAATGGGTTTACATTTGGATTATGTATAATGTGTCTATGACTTTTGAAAAGTATTCAGAAAGTTCACCTTGCTCAGAGAGATGGCAACCAGATCATTTACTGTGACTGGCTACAGGGAACAAACAACTTGTTGCTGTTGCTCTACTGGCTACTGTTCCATTTCTGGTCACAATCCAAACCACCGGTTATGACATAGTTTGGTTCCAGACTGTCTGAAGGGCCATATCTTCCTCTATGAACTTGCTTGTGTTATGTTATACCTTCAGGGGACCCTTTCCTTAGTCTTACCACCTTTACAGGAGAAGATCCTGTCAGTGGCCACTCCTCGGTTTTTGAACCCAGGTTAAGGTGGCTCTCACCTTCCACGAAGGGCCCTTCCACACAACCATATAATACAGACTATCAAGGCAGAAAATCCCACAGTATCTTCTTTGAATTGGGTTATCTGAGTCCATCCACACTGCCATACTGTATATTCCAGTTCAAAGCATAAAATGTGAGATTTTATTCAGCTGTGTGGAAGGGAGTCTAAGAAGTGGATGTTTTTAGTATTTTAGAAACAAGGGCTTTACATATGTAATTTACAGATTCTATGGATTTAGTTCTATGGACAGTTGAATTGCAGTGTAGCAATAACTTTTTCCTTATGTTCACTTGAGCCTTTGTAAGTGTTTTTAACTGTATTCTAGTTAAATTCAGTGAAAATCACCTAAGCTGCTTGAATTTGATCTGGGTCCCATATGAAATGATGGCTAACTGGATGCAGCACCACTAGCCAGACCTTCACAGATGACATTGAGGCTTTCTAAATTAGTTGTAGGCTACTATTAATCAGTTGTGTATATAGATTAAATGCAGCATGTGACCTGGTTGTAATGCTGGCAGGCTAAAATCAGTAGCTGTGAATGGTGCCAAGAAGGAGATTGTCATTGTTCAAAGTAATCATGTTCTGTTTGCTCTGCCTGAGTTGAGTTTACAGATCAATAAACCTGATAGCAAGTGTGAAACCCTATTCCACATCCTTGTATGTT